CTCGGATTTTTTTTCCGAGTCCTCCTCAAATTAATATCATGTTGTTGTTGTTTCATCTTTAATATACTCACTTTGGAGGTTGGTTGGCCGCATCTTTGATATGCTTTAAGGTGACAGCGCGATGCTGTTAGTGAGTTCTTCACTTCTTGAGTCCTATGTTCGCCGTAAATTTCACAAAATCGAAAAATCCTAGTTAATCTAAATTATCATATGTCGATTAAGAAAAGTCAAGCGATCCTGAAATGCTTTATAGATGTCAAGTGTGGCGTTGTTTATGCTGGGCTCAGAAGACGAAACCATGTTTTGTGACACTTAGAACTTTTTTCAGCTAGACTGCCGGTCAAGGTGTTGAAAACACTAAATGACCGGCAGTCCTATATTCTCAGTACATTTCGCTTGACTGTTTCTTAATCGACATATGATAGTTTGGTTTAGCTGGATTATTTCTATCTGCGAAATTTACGGAGAATATAGGACTGCTGGTCATTTAGTGTTTTCAACATGCTGACCGACAGTTGAGCCGAAAAAATTCTAAGTGTCACAAAAGATGGTTTATAAGGCATTTCAGGATCGCTTGACTTTTCTTAATCGATATATGATAGTTTGGTTTAGCTGGATTTGTTCGATTTGTGAAATTTACTGAAAAGACAGGACTGCCGGTCATTTAATATTTTGAAAACCTTGACCGGTTACCGGCCATATAGCCACAGCGTAATGGTATTTGTTATATGACATTAAAGTATTAATTTTTAAAATCAATCCTGGCTGACCTGCAGCTAGCTAAACTAACCGAGGCATATCAGTCTCACAAGTTCTAAATATTACAGATAACCCAATGCTGCTGGTAAAAAGAGCAATTAAAGGGACACAGTCACCTTAAGCCACACTGACCTAGTCACTACTTTTTACAGTTTGAAAAAGACTTACCTCAACTTGAAATCAAATGTACACATCAGATACATCTAGAAATCCACTTTAATCTTGCCTAGTTTTTCATTCGATCCTCTTTTTTTTGTCTGAAAACCTCTTTCTGACTCAGCAAACTTTTATGCATCCTAAAACATTATTTTATCGTATTTGGTTAAACACAGTATCCAAAGGAACATAAAAAGAGGAGGTGGGAAAAATGTAGGCGCTAGAGGGGAGAAATCCTCTTCGTGTACCCAAATAACAAGAGAAATGAATCAATAACACTGCAGAGCAAATCATCATTACGAATATTATTTTGGAAAATTGATGGAGAAAAGTTACAATCAAGCTGTCTCGACCTTGAACCTTTGACAATTATTAAGACTTCATGTCATTTCTCACCTCTACTGATTCGTCAAATTCAGAAGTATTCGTCAATGTTTAGCTTTCCCTGGACAAGTGCATTGGTGAATTCTTGATGGCATATAAAAAAATGAGTGCTCTGATATGACTTACAGTCTATAACTAAGATTTTGACTTGCAATTAGTTCAGCTCCACAAGGTTTGTTTAGATATTCCGGATGCGCTTCTCACTTTCTGTTTCACGCGCAGCTTGTGATATACAAATCAGCTAAGAATTGGTATGTAATGCACATGCAGCTGACTGTGTCCCTTTAAGTGGCCTTTTACATGGAGGGAGAATTCGTGCAAAGCATATTGTTGTGGGTCAAATTTGTTTCAGGTTAATCTTGATTTAACCCTGGTTGATTCTCAATTTCCTTTGTCTCCTAGCCCCAAGAGAAAAAGGAAATTGAGAATCAGCCTGGGGGAGGGGGGTTGGGGGAAAAGCAAACCCAGGTGCTACATATATGCAACACAATGTATGGCAGATCACTTGTGGAGTTGTATAGCTTGTGATTAACTGATCACAAACGCTTTGTTAGGTGGGTGCGAAGGCAGATAATATACAGAATCCAAGTTCAAGAGTTCAGTAAGAAGGTTGAACCTTTTTTAATCTGAACTCATCATTGTGGGGTGCTATGACAAAAAATTTGTGACAACTTTGCAAGTGTGCCGACTTAAGTTGCCATTATTGTGCTGTTATTTCTTGGTTGATTAGGTAAGTCCAAATTTTGCTTGAGTACCTACCTGTCTAAAAAAGATAGTTTAAGAGAAGATAATAGATAAGAAATTTTCACTCCAAAGGTTCATTGTGGTTCTGGGGTGAGATTAGTTTTTTGGACTGCATTGTCACCTATTTTCTGGTGGCTAATCACAAGGAAACAAGCAAACACTTGTAGCCTACGTTATTTTGTGATGTACCAGTGTTTATTTTTTGTTGTTGATCCCTCCTGTGGGCTTAATTCTCTTGTGATCTTGGCTGCATAAGGATTTTGAGAAATGCCAAAAATTATTTTTATCCCCTAAAAATTTTTCATCTGTTCGGATTTCCTAGCTGAAAGTCTCGAGATCCGAAAATCATAGGGATCAAAACTTACCTTTTCGAAAATTTCAGCCAGAAAAAAGGCTCCCGAAAATTCTAGGTGAGCTTTTTAGATGTTCGAAAATCCTATGAGAGGTAGGCAAGCAAGAAATTTTACAAAAAATGTTCCGAAAATTCTAGATCTCAAATCGTCTTCCGAACAGATATTTTCCGAAAATTGACGTTGGGTGCCCCTGATTGGTGTTACATAATAATGAACTGTTATCCTCTCTAGCTCTCTTCCTGTAAGATATTTACAACTTACAAGGAAATGTCTGAATATCTTATATTTTATATAATAGAATAATAATTTATAGAATAAGATAAATAGCCCACTGGTGGTAGAGAGTGTGGAGTTCATGCCAATTCGATTGACCTATTTCCGTCTTGGGCCCGAACTTTTCATGAGCCGAACCTAATTCAAATCAAGGTCGACCCACACTATTTAGACCGCCTAAATTGATTCAAATTAACGCCCATCTTAATTCCTGTCGAACTAAATTCAAAAGGAGAAAAATGCATATTTTGGTCAAACTGCTAATTTATGCATTAGGTTCAGTGCACGGAAAAGTTCGCCGTACCAAAGTCGCTCCACAGCCGAAATTCCCGGCGGCTTAGCCATTCCAAATTAAAAAAGGCATTCCTAATTGATTCAGTCGCCCAACTTTTCATGTGCTTAATTCAATGTATTAGGCTCGGCGTCTCAACCGGGCCTCGGGGGAGTACATGTAGGGGAATTACCTATTCCTCTGTAATCGTCACTGTTTTTTAATCGCACATCATCATGACCACAAAAAGGCTGCAAAAAAGTTTTAAAACAATGTGAAAAAAGCTTTAATACAATAAAAAAAATTTTAATGAGTGACAACCGTAGTGGGTTTTAAGCGACCCGAAAGACAACGGAAAGTCGTATCACACACACAAAAAATTATTATTTCGGGAATGGAAGAAGGACAGGTCACCGTAAATGATCGATTAAACGTCGCGGCGCCTATTTCATTCTCCCTGTTATGGGTGCGGAGCTTATACGAGGGCGACGCTTATTTCAACTAAGGGGAAAACACTGATAGGAATATAGAGATAATTAATTGAGGCGCTTACTAGCTATTCGCAATTTAGTATAATAATTATGTAAATCTCGAAGAGAGATATGAACCCGGTTTCAAGAGTTTCCCTCGGGCATCAAAACTTTTGAACTCACGAGTTGGTCGAGGTCTTATTTCTCAAGTGATATGGTTTTGATATCTCTTTATATCAAGCGCCGTAACAAAGGTGGGGCGTTAATTTGTAAATATCCAAATAAGAGCTTATTTGTGAGCGGCGCTTATTCGAGAAGTGGCTCTTAAGCGAAGATTTAGAGTAGTGACTAAAGTTACTTTAGACTCTTTGACTGACCAGTTCGTACCACATCCGCGTACCCCTTTTGTCACCATCCGTTTAAATGCTCATAGGTAACTGATTTGTGTTAACGTATGTAATCGCTAAAGATAACATAATTATGAAACTGCACCTTAGCGATACAGCTATCGTCATCATCGGAAACTTCTTCAATGTCTTCTACTTGATTTTGTGCCGAACCACTTGTTGACGCAACAGAGCGCAGATATTTTCTTCGAAACTGGGAGTTAAGAAAAAAGTAAAACCAAAAGTAAGAAAATTGAAAATTCGAACAAAAAAATAAAGTTACTGTGATTGATTACTTAGCTTGTACCGTGGACTTCCACTGTACTGAGAAATCGTGTATTAGCTGTTTTACTAGATTTACGCAGGGTACGCACACAGCACTGTTGCGTAGTATTTCACTTTGCATGTACTAAATTAGAAAGGAAACATTCCAAGAATTATAAAGGGCCTTCTGAAAACATGCAAAAATTAACATCCAAAAATAAGAACAAATCCGTCATAATCGCAAAAAAGTAGTTCTCGCAAAACACAAAAAAATCGCCAATCCTCAAAACACTGAAACCCAGACAAAAACGGCGCATACACGATACCTAGACATTTTCATGCAGTGTCCGTGCAGTGACAGCAAGAAAGTACAAAATTGCGATGCACGTGCAAAGTTGTTGATTTGCTACTTTATGATCTGACCTTCATATTCAAACACGACATTCAAATTGCAAGTGAAAAATACAAAACACAAAACAACAAAGACACAAAATAAAAAAATATAGAAGACGGTTAAGAGAACACAATTCAGTAAGTGGTGTGATTAACTGGAGAACTTAAACAAAGTTTAGATGAAAAAAAAAACAACAATAACAATAAGTAAATCACCTGTCTGCCGCGTGTTTCCGAAGACTGGGATGAGCGTGGCGTAGAAGCCGAAAAGGACAGTAGGCCGCCATCTCTGGTGGCGTAATCTCCCAACTGAAACAATAAAGCGATTTATTACGGGACTAGTCAGAGAAAATGTGCTTACTGACACTACGATTGTTTTTTGGTTTCTTGAAAATACAATTGTGACTGTTCAAAACTTTAACTTATAGTGGTAATATCAGATCATTAATGACGAAAAAATAGCAGTTTGGACTACAGATATTGCAAAAAAAAAACCCCTAACCTCACTTTCGTGCTCACGTTCCTCCTCGTCGTCACCATCTGGCGGAGGCCTGTCAGTTGCTGGAGCGGACAACATAACGTACAAATTGTTGGTTGACTTCGATTTAAGGGTGTACACTGCTTTACCGTCTAATGTTTGACAAGGACTTAAATTTAAAACTACTCTGCCCTGTCTGGAGGCGTACAGAACAGTTTCGTTAAACGAAGGAAATCTAGATTTAACAATGGCGAGAATCCTTGTTCGAATGGAAGAGTCCGATTCATTTTCTCTTACACGAAACGGGGCCTCTAAGAGAACACTACCGTCATAGCTTTCGGTTTTTCCAGTATCGTTGACTTCACGAATAAAGTCAACGAGGACTAATTTCATGTCATACGATTTTGGTTCCCTCTTTTTGCGTCTGCCATATGGAACGTAGCGTCCAGAAGAAGAAGACTGATGCAGGGAGGGCATGACAGGGCCAGTTCGATGCGGGGAGCGACGAACCAAGCACGCGACCAACATCGTCGGCAAGGCGGTTATCATCCCTTAGAGAACGAACGATGTTGGAAGCACTCGAACCCGTAGAAGAGGAGTGAGTCCCAGAAGAGGGCTGGTGATTACTTAATATCGTCACTAGGGTACGAATAAGTTCGTTAGAATCACTCATCTGGAGAAATTAGAGAATAAGAACTGCTCCAAGTTTTGAGATTTCAGCCTGTGAGGTGGTGCCTCATCCAGAAAACGCAACCGATTGATAGCAACTGGACTTACTGAAGTCTCTACGCGTTTTTATACGCTGAGAAATGTACAAAAATTTACGCCAAAAATTCAGCGAAAATAGAATACAGGAAGGATCACGGGACGAAAAAACGGATTTACCGAACGTCAAAGGTGAAGTCAAACGCGCGATAAAGGCCACCTTTGCACACCTTTGTACAACTTTGACGCGCGACAAATGTTTACCTTTGCTCGCGGTCAAAGGCGAGTCTTCAGGCGATAAAGGCCGTTTTTGTCACCCCTTTAACCCCTACCTTTGACGCGCGTCAAAAGTATATTTCATTAGCATTTGTACCCCTATCAAAGGCGTCGTCAAATATGTCTGAGATTCAGGCCAAAGGTGTGACAAAAGCGCGGTAAAGTTATGTCTGTGATTAAAGTCAAGGGCTTGTGAAAAGTGTCGTCAAATGTGTCTGAGCCTCAGGTCAAATGTGTGACAAAGTTGTCGTCAAATGCGTCTGAGATTTAAGTCAAAGGTTTAATAAAGGTGTTGCCAAATATGTTTGGTTTTTTTCCTCCCCTCGCATCGCGCCTCTCGCTCGTCTCGCGCTTCGCTTGAATTCCGCGTTCGCCTCGCGCTTCGCGCGAATGCCGCGTTATTGCCTCGCTAGTCATAAGCGCTTGATATACAGGCTAGAATCCAACTTGAGATTTCAATCAAATTCAATTGCGACCTGGATACCGTTTAAAAAGGTGGACAGATAAGACACTGAGTTCTTAATCTTGTACTTTATTGTCCTAAAACCTCATTAGATGATTAGAAAGCTGAATAATTCCGATTAAAACTTAAATGCATAAAAATGATTTTTTAAAACCTTTTCACGATTTATTGTCTAAAGTACTCATTGCAGTCTGTCAATGGACAATCATAATGACTGCCGCAAATTTTTGAAGCACTATAAATGTTCCAGATACACGCTGTTGTCACGGACGGCAACCTGCAAAATAGTTTAAAACACTTCTTTCACGCAAGCCAGTGCAAAAATCATGGTAAGTAAGAAATGTTCTTGATCAGGAGCCCATCTGTCTTGATGTTATCTTTGCGAAGATTTTCATTATAGAGTGCTTTTGATTCTTGATGTAAGTGAAAGACAAACGCCATGTATCTAACTTCAATCTTCCTCTGTTGTGTGTTTCGTTCCACTGGAGACTTATCACTTTGCCTTGTTTCTTTTATCTGTGAAATAATTGTAAAAGAATATAGCAATTTGAGATAAAAAATTCAGTCGTAGTGTTTCAAATAAATTTTTCGGCCCCACTCCCTTTTTACTATCGCTCCTTTCCTGCAGAAAATTCCCCTTTCTCTTTACCTTTATCAAAACTTAAAGACCCGGTTAAAAATGTGTAGCGAACCTAATGCTTTTGAATGGAAACATTACATTTCGTGTACATGCATTGTCATTAAGTTCGTCATTTGTGAAATTTGACGTTTGAATCGAGCCTTATTATCACTTAATTAAGTCCAGGGAAATTCAATGAAAATTTCCCTCCATGCCCAAAGCTTAAAATTAAACTAAAGAAACACTTTATATTATACCTAGCCTGCATAACAAGCGTTTCCAATAGAGTTATTGCGCGAGTTAGCCCCTCCCGGCCCCTCCTTCCTCTTTTTTTACCCTCTACAAACTTAGTCTCTTGCAGAAAACTCGCGCGGAAAAGCTTGCTACGCAGGCTATTTTTAAAGTTATTGTCCAGTCACAATAAAGAAGGGACAGCTCGGTATGTTTGAATGATTATTATTAAATGTTGAAACATACCTAGCTGCCACTGTGGTGGCACAAAAATCAAAAAAAATTATGCAGCATGAGCCCCATTACGTATAGAACCCAGAAAAATCAATAGAAAGAGATACTCACGTCTGTAAAACATCCGAAGTCTTCAAATAACCACACTTCTTGTTGCACTGAATCCTGTTCAAATAAGCTTATGTACTTTCTTCAGTAATATGCCTATCAAAGTCTGGTACAGATATTTTTATAGAAGTACACTGTCCATGAAAAAAAAAATATATAAGTCTTATATTATTTCATTACCCTGAAGTAGTTTTAGTAGTTAAGTATAACTGTTAGAAAAACCAGAGTTGGTTTATAATCTTGATGTTAGTAGGTTCTCGCATAGAGTTTTGACTTGAATTGCATCGTGAAATATAAGCCAGCTATTACTTTTGCAGAAATGCACTAACCCTATTAAGAAAAAAGGGCTTGATCTAATGTAAACTCTACTGTAATATAGAAAAATTTTTATAGTTTACTGAACCAGATTTAACAATCAGAAAAGCTCCCAAGCACGACATGCATGCCTGTTCGGAGTTGGTTTCCGTAAGCTTAACACAGTAAAACAACTATGAAGTTTGAAGAACAACTATTGCATAAACACATAGAAAAGAATGACACGTACCTTTTGAACAAGTTTGTGGTCTAAACTCTATCAAAGATAGGGGTGAAAATATTTGTTAACAAAAGCTGGACTGCTTCGTACGAAAAAGCAGCTTTTGTTTTCTTCAGATCTGCGTAGTTTGTTTGTTTGCGCGGGCAGAGAGAATTTGCAGCCGCGACAATTTCGCGCCAAAAACAGGGTGTCTTGCTTGGGTTCAGTCTTCCATCGTCCAATAGTTGAGTCATTGTTTTGCGTCGCTATCATTACATGGTATATTGATCGATCAAGGAGAAAATGATCCACTCAAGATAAGACAAAAAAAAATCGCTTCGAAAAAGTACATATTCTAGAACATTTTCAAAAATAATTATAAAACAGCAATTACAATGATTACCCGCCCGTGTTCGGTATTGTCGTATAAATATCTTTAAAACAGTATTCAAATACAGCTTTTTAATTTCCTTTCTCAATGTCAGTTTCGACATAAGTGTTTGTAGACGTAATTCATTGCATATTTGCTCTCACCTTTCAGCACCATTCAAGAGTATTGTAAAAGTGTAGCGGTCGTATTTGACTTTATTTTTGACTAGTATCAAAGGTATGGTCACAGCCACTACACTTTTGACTTCATCTTTGACGTGCGTCAAAGGTAAAGTCAAAGTTACCAGCATATTTGACAACGACTTTGATAAGGGTTAAAGGAATAGCAAAGCATTGATTCATTTGACTTCATCTTTGACGCGCGTCAAAGGAGAAGTCAAAGTTGTTAACAATTTGACTTCACCTTTACCGAGGTCAAAGGAGTAAGTAAAGAGCTTATATATTTGGCGACATCTTTAACGCGCGTCAAAGGTGAAGTCAAAGCCAATACCATATTTGACTTAACTTTTGACTCGTGTCAAAAGTGCAGTAAATCCAATTTTTCGTCCCGTGGATGTGTATGTAAGCGCTAAATACTTTTAATTGTGAGTGGGCGATAAGGTCGCGGAACTTGTTGCCGACCCGTGGACACTCAATTAAAAAAGATAATTCTTAAATACTGATATGAGCATCCTCCAAGAACCTTGTTGATCTAAAACAGTTGAGAAAGCTTGCGAATAGTTTTCTGTGAGTGTCAATGTCTTCGACTCAGTTTTTTCCCCTTTTATTAGCGACTATTCTTACTACAATCTTTGCGAAACCCTAACTCGGCAAATCAAGCTGTCGCAAACTGAACACGTATTCCTTCCAAGTGACTGGGCGTAGCACCGCCTAAGAACTTTTAACTGACTTGAGGGCTCAGGTAAAATGCGGGGACCTTTTTCATCAAAAACAGACAGGAAACAAAGGTTACCCCAGCACTGGCCAGGGAAGGACACATCCGTCTAAAGTGCAAGTCCAATAATGACCCATGAAAGAACAATGAAACTTTTGTCTCATGTTTTTTAACAAAACGTGTCCTAATTGTAATGGATTTGGCGACCCCGATCACCCAGTGTAATATCAAGGAAAGAAATTATTTCGCCTCTTTCTGGACAAAACAATAAAACGATCCCTTACAATAGAAAGGCTAAGTGTACTTCCACTACATCAACAAAGCTTAATTATTAGCTATTATTCTTTTTTTTTTTAACACTGAAACTTTTACGTTAACTATTTCATCCTAACGTCGCAGGCAAACATTGTAAAAGAACGATATGTGTTAAATCGAATTAGTGAAGAAAGAAAGAACCATCGATCACAATTTTCTCACGCTTTTCCACATAACAACTTCTATTTGTTTCACGTCGTGCGATTATGGGGTGATGTCATGCAAGGGGGGGGGGGGGGGGGGGGG